ATGTATACGTGTATAATGCTTAAAGATAAAGTAATTGAGAATCTTTTTTTCTTTTAAACTGACAAGGAAAAGTGTCAATGTCGCGATTAGCATGCTTCCGGCCTTTTTAATGTTTTACAAACCTTGTAGATTTTAATTCAATTGAAGGTAGACCCCTTGAGGACAATGAAAAAAGGAAATAAGGAGGTTTGTGCGTGTGTAGTGTACTTAGTAATACCGATGACTTCCTAAAATATCCAATGTTCCTATTCCAACAATAGCACTGTATTGAATGTAAATCTTTTTTCAAAATTATAAAGTACGTCCATTAAGAACGATGCGATCAAACCATGGCGTTGTCGTTTCTTTTCAAGTCACTACAACACCTTTCACATCACAATTCTCTCTTATCACTGTCATGTTCCGATAACTTTGTTTAAAGACAAAATGCAAAATTAGGCTCAAAGAACGGAAACACTCATAGAGCGAAAAAAACAACAACAACGACTTGTGGTCTCTTTAAAAATGAACGTTTATATTTCTGAGTTACGATGCGTTTTGGTTATTTTAATTTTTTTTATTTATATACTCACGCCCTTACATTCCCATTGGGGTAGGCAGAGACTATCGATTGCCGCTTATCACGATCCTTACAAACCTTTCTTGCCTCATTTACATTCATCAATCTTTTCATACAACTTATTCTTGTCACTACGCACTCCAGCCTTTTTAACAACACTCTTAATTTGGTGAGAGAATGCTCTTTGTATCCATCCTTTTCCAATGATTCCTTCTACGTTAGCTTTATATATTTCTTACGTTAATCTACGTTAATTCATCATTCTTCATGGGCCCAAACCACGTCAACATACCCTTTTCTGTTTTTGTCACTACATCCTCTTACAAACAACATTTTTCATATGACACCATTCTTCACTCTGTCACACAGCGGCACACTACATATTCTTTTGAGGGATCTCATTTCAACTGCATTCGCTCTACTCTTATGCTTCTTCTGCCACACCTAACACTCACTCCCATATATTAGCGTTGGAACCAACACAGCATTATATACTGCCACTCGTGCTTTCTCAGATATAGACAGGCTGCACGTCATTCCCTTTATGACCCCGTTCACCGCATTTCCCTTTTTTACTTTTCTTTCAATGTCTTTCTCACATTTACCATCCCTTGTAAACATGCATCCCGGGTACACAAACTCTTTTACTTGTTCAACTTTCCATCGATTTCAACTACGTATTCTGACATACTATCGTTTCTTTCAAACACCATTACTTTATTTTTATCCACATTCATTCTCATTTATTAACAATATCAAAGTTATTTTTATTAAATATGTTATATAGGGTTTTTCAACAAGAACTTTGTTTTGTAAATCAAAATAAAACAATAAATTTACCTACATGACAATAATTAAAATTTTTAATGTATTAAAAAATGTAAGGTTTGGCAATTATGAATCAAAAATGACGTCTGATAAATGTCCACCACGACTACAGTTACAGATGTCGTTTTTTTTATTCAAATTTTTAATCACTTTTTGATAAAGTGGTGGGTCTATTTCGTTAATCACTTCACGAATCATTGAATCATTGTCATCTAAATTTATTGTTTTATTTTGATTTACAGAACAAATATCTTGTTGAAAAACCCTTTATAATAAAATAACTTTATAGATAGCCATTAAGATATACAGGAGAGAGAAAGTTACACTACTTAATTAGTTATTGATTGATTGCTAACACCACAAGAGAATTCAAATAATAAAAAATATATCCTTTACAATATATTACTTTATTATCTCCCAATAAGTACAAAATATAAATGATCGAACATAGAGTATAGATATGGGAGACAGGAGCCCAAACTAGATACTTAAGTCCTGTGCTATGAATAATTAGAATAAGTGCCATAACACGAATAACGAGTTACAGATATTTTAAAGAGACCACAATGCGTTATGGACGTATTTTTCGCTCATTGATTGATTTGATTGTAACCGTGACGAATGTCTTAAGTTCACGTGTCAACACTAAAAATCCACTTATTTCATTGAAAACAGAAACATCATCTGTGTCCTTCAAGTTAAAAAGCGAATTGAAGAAAACATACCAAAACAAAATTTCTAAGCTTGGTATGAAAGCCACATATGTGATCATACGTCAATAGCGTTTTTAACACATGAAAATTATAAAAATAGTACGAGCTATATGAAATAAATTATTACAGAATAAGTTGTAATTTGGCAGATATGGCCCTAACACACCAAGCGTTTTGTTCATTTTGGTGGTTAAAAACAAGTCAATTTACTTAAATAAAAGTTTGTAAACAGCTGAATAAATATTCTTTGTTACTCAATTTCACTAACAAGTTTCCGAAAAAGTTTATGGTATAATAAATCAATATATTATGTATTTATGAATAAAAATTTGTGTTTGTACGCGTATGTGTACCGTTACAATTCATCTGATTGCGTTACAACTCTCGTGAATTCCAATTAGATCCCAATGCTGGGTTGATTCTTTTTACTGTTTTTAACTGTCTTTTTTTCTTTCAATGTCATTACTCACACAGCTAATATTTTATTATTAACTTAAAATCCATTTAAGTTATCAAATTTTAATAATCAAAATGTGTTCCATTCAGTACTATACAAATTCTCAGTCTTTTGATAATTTCTCTTCCTGTCGATTTATTTATCATTTCATGGCGATTGTTTAAAATAATAAGTTAAAAGTTTGTACTCGTTACAATACCGGCACGCTATGATGGCCGTTTTGACGGTTGTCCACTCATCAAGTTTCGTATTAATTCAAATTAAAAGGAGCTCATTGATGTACGTTGTTGTCAATAGTGACGTGCAGTAAAATGTTTGGAATATGTAATTTTACAACACAACTTTTTTTTTTGTTGTTCGAAATTCGAAATTTTTAAAAATCCAATACGATCGTCACTTATAGGATCGCCAGCACAACTTCTATCTCCGGCAAACTGGCGTCAAAGCTTGATCAGAGATATTGAGCTTGACGCCAGTTTGCTGTCAGTTAGCATTTCCGATTTGACCTCACTATTGTAATCTGTCAAATGTTTTATCTACGGTATTTAAGGTGCTTTTCCTCGGTGTGGCATAGCCGTGAGACGCCATGTATAGTATTTAAAATGATTATCTTTACTCTTATTATCCATTACGAAATAAAATTAATTACTAAACAAAATCCATTTATTTCATTAGGTAAAAAGATATCATAATGAAGGTTGTTATAATTTGTGTCATGGTACACTGTCATAATAGTTTTTCTAATACACACCTAGATAACAATTAGACTGTAGTTTAGGCGTCATAGATAAAGGCAATTAGTTTTGTTGCGCATTAATTACTTTTATTGAAGAATATTGACAGAAGCCATTTGAAACGTTGTTTAATTCTTTATGTCACGCGTTTTTAAATAGTTTAATGTGGACCTTTTTCAACGTGAACTAAAATAGCAAATAATTAGTGTATACATAACATAGTACATTTTAATTTTATGTAAAACATTATACATAATAATTAATCAGTAAATTTATATTTTAATTTAATAAAATGATAATATCCAGAAAAATAACAGATTGGAATTGGACTGGTCCAATTTAGCCCTAAAAAGTGGGAACGATAGCAGCGTTTTGGGCATTCTGCCGACGAGAACGAATTATGTCTATATTGTCCCTTTCCTGATTCCTGTTCCTGACATTGTTTAACCGATTTACTTTTCAAAAAATTTTCGATTTCAAAAAAAGGAGGAGGCTCTTAATTTGACTGTATTTTCTTTTTTGTGTATGTTACGCGTTTACTTATTATTATTTGGGAAAACCGACTTTTTAGTTTAATTAAATTTTTATTGAATTGATGTTCAATTATTTTTTGTGAAATTACTCCACTAGTTTTTTATAATTATTACTCTACTTAAACTAAAAAAATATTAATACAAAAATCGAACACTCAGAAAAAATTCCTTCGATCCGGTCGGATTTTCGATTCGAAGGAATTTTTTCTGAGTGTTCGATCTTTGTATTAATAATTTTTTAGTTTAAGTTTATATGTACAATTATAAGCAAAGTTCGAAGTCGGCTCCATATTTATAGCCCATAGTTTCAGCACCCTTATCTGTTACTTCTACTGCTTGCCAGTAGAAATACAAACACTTTCACCAGGAGCTCTACTGCTGTTAAATATTCTTCACCAAATGTCTCATGTCTTACTTGTCACTTTTTTATTTATGAATAACTATGTTGTGACAGCCCTAATATTTAACAACCCTTAAGGCGCATTTATTCGACGCGAATTTCATCGCACCCACCCCGCACGGCCGCCGCGCAGCGACCGCGTGTGTCTGACTGTCATGGCAAAATACGCTCTGTATGTTTAGCCTTTACGTTTTAAGTTCAATGAGCGTCCCGGACACGTGGGCGAGTCTGGCTTGAATATGGTCTACGCGGTGACTCGCGCGGCCACTGTGCAGTTGTATTATTCAGAGCAATTTAAATGTTGTTGTCCCGTAAATAGAATTCAGATTCGCCATTAATGTACGTGAAGGCGTGGTAATTGGGCGTCCGCGCGAAAATTTTCGCGTCGTGTAACTGAGCGCTTACAGTTTTTAATAATAACAATGTGCACCACGCCAATTACTTGGTCTGAAATCAGGAAATTCCCTGTAGAATAAAAACCAGATACCACGGTATTCACTCCGGAACGCTACACAGTACACCCCGACCGACACCAATTTGGAAAAAAAGTTTCCAAATTGGTTCTACTGGGAATTGAGCCCGGGACATCCTCAACCCTCCCTTCCATCGCCCAAGTAATCCGTTGGGTCGTCAGTAGTTGTTAAAGTACATTAGTCATTTTTCTTTAAATGTAACGGTTCGTTTTGTTACAAAATATGTATGTACGAAGAAAATTCATCAAGTCCAAATTTGTCAGCTTTAAGTATGAAAAATCACACGTGTCCCTTATTTTACAGAAGATACGTCTACACCGAAACCAAAACATGTTCTCGACACGATTATGAGCCCCGCTTACATACCAACAGAAGAAAAACACTCCTCATACTGGAAGAATTCTGCGAAAGAACATTTGAAACTCAAATTGGCAGAACATCATAATAAGAATAAAGCTAAAAATGCTATACTGTTCATTGGTGATGGTATGTCTTTGGCGACTGTGATGGCGGCAAGGACGTATGCTGGACAGCTGGAACGAGGTTTAGGAGAAGAGAATGTTTTGGAGTTCGAAAAGTTTCCTATTAGTGGATTGGCAAGGGTGAGTTTTTCTTTTCTTTTTATAACAATAATTCATTTATTTCAGACATTCACAATCTATAATATTTGTTATTAAAAGTATTTAAAAATTGATGCTAGAATTTACCATCTGTCACTAAAATTTTTAAAATGAAAGAATTGTGAAAAATAAATTAAAATTATAAAATCAAAATTAAAACAGTCAAAAATTAAAAAAAAGAAAACTTTCCAAAACAGTATAAGAATGATTACAAAACAAAATTAAAAGTATAAAAATTTTAAGTTCATATTATAAATTGCTTCATAATAATTTTATCCACACACATATCATAAACCCTCTGTGATGTATTCAAAAACCGCAAATTACGACCAGCATAAAGGTAAACTGTTTTGTTACAACAAATTTCTTATCTGTGAAAATGTTATTATTGCAATCTGTGTTATTGCGTAATATAGCATCGAATTCGATGTTATTATTACATTCAAATTTCGAACATCTTTGAAAAACAAAACAATTTGATTCGACCTCAAAATTGTAGTATCTATCGAGATGAAGTTTTATTCGAAATGAAATGTCAATAGCCAACATTTTGACAAATTTCACACGTTATTTGATATCGAACGATTTGACAGTTGGGGCGAACAGCTGCAGATAGGTGTGTTGGAGCTGCCTCGCACCCGCCGCTTGTGTTGGTGAAGAAATATGTACACTATATAAAAAGTGACATATAAAACCTTATAAAACATGTTTTACTCGTATACATTTGCAATTGAAGCAATATAAATGTCATTCCAATTGTTGAAATCACGGGTCACGCAACTATAACACCACAAAACGTGTAAAATACTTGAAACAAAATCCTTTACATGATAAGCTCGCCTTTATATCACTTCAGATTATCTTATTGTTAACTCCTTAGAATAATAACGCATAGAAACCTAGTCCGCACACGCTAAGTGAGGCAAATTGAAGCGCTCCCAATGGGCCTACACGAGCGGGCGGGCCGTCACTGCTCAAGGTCAACTTGCACCGCGAACAGCTCCAGAATTTTTGCTAAAAATGACGAAAGGTGCGATAAATGAGTGTAAAAATACGTCAGACAAACATAAAATAGATACTAACATCACATTCCACAAGGAAGTAACGCGTTTCAACTTGTATTTTTATATAAATATTCACTAGAACCGAAAATTAACCTAATACTAAAACTAGCCTACATGAATTTGATTTTTGCCTCACTTGTGACAGTTTGTTTGATATGGAACTATCATTCTATGCGTTATTATTTTAAGGTTAACTCATATATTTTGCTATGTTTTTTTATTACACATACAAAGTTTGGTTGCGCTTGTAGCTATTTGGTTGGATATATGAAAATATTAATAGTGTGTGCGGTGTATTGGTGTATTGTATATTTATATGTATAAAGTTTAACGACGGTATCATAAACACCCAGACTCGCACAATACAGAAAAGTTAGTCTTTCCACATTAACTCGATTGTGGATCCAACCCAATACCTCGGAGATGGCAACACCATGAAAACCGGTGTACAAGCGCAAGATCGTCAAACTAATTTATCGGAAAAATTACCAAATATTTTTATTAAGGCACAATATTTACGAATATAAATTCCTTACTTGACATTGAAAAACTGTAATATTAACAAAAGTCACTCGCAATGAAGGTTTGTCACATTAAAGTATCTAGGTACTTGAAATAAAGGCGAAATATAAATAAACGGCAAAGAAAGCTTTGTAGAATCAAATCTTTCAGGTTGGTCTTAAAACTGGCTGACTGTATGCTGAATGGAAACATTAAGTTGTTTGAAGAAATTCTCGTTTCCACCATCATACCTCCCGCCAAAGGAGTAGAGCCCACATAATATACTCCGTTCAACTTCACTTCATTTTTTATTTTTTATGGCTCCATCATATGAAATGATGATTTTGACAAAGTCACGGCCGAAAGAAAGAAAAAAAAGAGAAAAACCATTGAGTTCTATTGAGACAATAACCGGTGTTGATGGATCCGCAGAAATACTCAGATGAGAATTTAAAAGAAAAGACATCAAACAATATATATTGTTTATCTGCATGACTTTATATAGGGTAGAAATATGGGGGGATATAGGTGCTACAGTTAAGGCGTTATTTATGTTAATGGGGCGAGGGAACTTTGAGGATAGTGGGTTATAAAGCGGGAGAGATATATTAGGGCAACTCCGGTCAACCATTTATTTAACTTTTGACAGCTCGAGGACTAATCAATTAGTGGCGTCCTAATGCTTTAACGATTTGATTTCTTATAACAATCGATTTTATTTATGAAGAATTTTTAATCGTGAATGGGATCGTGATGCATTTGACAATTTGTGTACTCAAGTTCAAAGTGAGAAGAATCCGACGATTAATTACAATAAACAATAAGAATGCATTCTAATTAATTATAATTTATAATTTAATTATAAGTTATTAGACAGTTACAAAGTCAAAAGCACGTCAAGCTTTACACTTAAGACCTAAATCCAACTCTATCCCGTTTACGATAAGAACGGTCCAAAGACAAAGTGTCAAGCTTGATGTGCTCTTGTGCACCACAACGTATCAACTTGAATAATCTTCGTTACTTAATCTGTCGGCTCGATAAATATCGGAGCTAAAGATCACGTCGATTCACTATACTAAAGAAAACAGTGTTCATGAAGTATTGAGTTTTAATTATCTACGGTTGCCTGTGTGTTGTAGTTAAACGATTATCGCTGGTTACAGATTTCTTACCAAGATGACTTTTTATTCTTCTCCAAAAACTTCAAATCATAACAGGGTAAGACCTCTAACTAAAATCGTTAAGTTAATAACCTAACCACGAAGGTCTATTAATCGATAAAAACTAAGTAATCACTTCGTTATTTACGTAAAAAAATAAAAAAAAGATTACATTTAGCATCTTGAATTCTTAGGTTTTAGCGATTGTTACACATAGGAAATGAAACTATTTTTCCGGATTCAAAACGCGTATATTTCTATTATGAATTTTTCTGTAACTTGAATCGCAAGTAAAAATATTTTACCCGTTACAAAGACAAATAGTACTTGAAAATGAGAGTTAACACAATACTTGAAAAAAAACGATTTAATCTTAACAAAAAATACCCAATTGGTTGAGAAATAACAGAATTATTTTATTATCAACCGTGAACACGGGACCTGTAAAGGGCCAAAAACGCTGGTTTGTTTGAAAAAAATAAACATACGCGATTTTAAATCCGGAAAAATAGTTTTATTTCTTACCTTGAATTCTTTCAAAAATGTAAAAAAAAAAGCACAGTGCAAGAATAAAAAGAAATCACACAATTATTAAACTGAAACGTTTACCTACTTGCAATGAAAAAACGTTGCAAAACCTACCTAAAGAAATGTTGCAAAACCTTCATTTTATTATTGCGTAACAGTTTATTCGTCTTGAACTTGATTCATTACTGGCAGTCCATTTCTTTTATTTCTTGAACATTAGGAGAGTTTTTTTTATTATAAATAACGAGCGCATTTAACCTCAAACTCTCCTGATAGAAAATGACGATGGATCATGCACATCTAACTAATGCCTATTGTAAACGTGCATAAACAAATTCACTCTGGTCTTGAATAGGCCCAAATTATACCGGGAACAAGTCTGTAGCCTGGGAATTCCATTCCAAAGCCGTTCGCCATACAAATGTGGAAGCGAATCGCGTCGTGCGAATCCTTGGAATATCCACAACATAGACAGAGTGTATTAGTTAAGTAAAAAATGACGCTGATTCTGGGTGCACACGGGCAATTAATTCCATTCCAATTGAATCCATTTTATTTTTAGAAAATATTATAAGAAATGTACAGGAAACGTGCAATAAAAGCTTAAATACTAAAGAAACTAAACCTAGGATTAAATTATCTGAATAAAATTGGGTCCACGCGGCAAGGTGCCCAAGATACTGGCAGCGTTCCCCGTTTGTATGGCTATGCTAATGCGTTGGGTAAGGTAACTGCTGTATATAAGAAAACAATGATATGATCAAGTAGTAAAGAAATAAAATAAATTATTTAGATTGAACAATTACTATCATGATGCTAATTCTTTTATTTATTTTTTTATTTTGTTTTTAATTGTAAGTCAATGTTTGTAACGGATAAAATAATTTTCCTTGCAAAAATGGTAATAGGCAATTCGTAATAGAAACGTCTTTTGTTAAATTAAAAAATGCATAGTTTATGGCCATTATAAATTTAAAAACTAGCAATGTAGCAGGCTTAATGGACAGGGGTGCGCGGATAGACCAAATGAGACGTCGATCGTTAAAATTGAGAGCTGTGTATTAGAAAACTTGCGTAGGCCTAACTAACAAGACTAAATTAACGAGACTAGATACCCAATACTGTGTCTTATAGACGTAAGAGCATGATATTTAGGGCTAAAGTGGAACATAGACTCTTACATTACATTACATAGGCTCTTTAGAGCTTGGGCCGTTTAATGTAGTATAATGCAGCTAGTTCTGAACAGCACTCTATAATTCAAAATATAAGAATTGACTTCTACGGCCGTGAGTTGAAAGAGCGCATGTGACAAAAACTTAAAACCGAGAAAATAATGTTGAAAAAAATTAAATTGTAAAATATCTACTTTTTTGTTGCGTTAACTTCATACATGATCCATCTTGGAAAATACTAAAAATAGGGACAGATCGGTCTTTTCTTTTAATTATCACGGCGTAACAAAATTATTGAAACAAGTGTCATACGCGCCCTTTCAACTAACGGCGGCAGACTTGTACTAAAACGTTAACATATTGCTTGCATGTTTCAAGATACCATTAACACTATCCAACGGTTCACGATGGAACTAAATGTAGAGTTACTCATCTTATTGTTGTTACTTAATATACTTAACCTAAGTAAGAAATATTTACATAAAAAAATATGTAGGAAAGGAAAAAGAAATAATTTTCCACCTTAAACTTTTCCCTTTAAGGCACAAAAT